GCACAGAGGCGAGTCGTGTCCTTACAGCTCTTGAAATTCCTGGCCTTGAGTAAGCTGCCTGGAGGAGCTGGGTAGGGAATTCGCCCAATGTAGCTTACCACTTCTGTGAGCCACGTTTAAAGAACTCCTATTTAAAGATTTGTGCTAATTCCCAGTGGAGTACACAAGATGATAATTTGAGATGCAATAAGAAAATATTAGGGCTTTTATTTTTATCTTCCACTGTAATTTTATCTTTTGAAAAAGAGGAAGTAAATTAGTCCATGTTTACTTAAGGTTACTAGTAGCACGTAGATCAGATGCGCAGAGGTTACATAGGTAGATTAGAGAGATAAATAGATGACAGAGATGGATTCAGAGCTGCTGGTTCAGAATGTGTCTGAGAATGGTGTGTGATCCATAAAGCTTGGAGACGCTGACGTGCACAGCTGTGTTTGATCTCTCAGTCACAGCCCAGGTGCGCGTGCTCACGTCCCACCACGCTTGCCTTACTGAGTTCCCAGACTGTGTCCCCGGCAGTCTTAGCGCGGGTCGCAGTGGCCTCTCATCTCATCTGATCTCATCTGCCCTATTGTGGGGTAAACTTTGCCAAGTTGTGACAGGGCCTTATGTCACTCCTTAGCCAAATCGTGGATTTCAGCAGATACCCAGTGCTGCCCGGAGTCGGCCCTGCACAGGCCGTTCAAAGCCTCACAGTCATCCTGTGACAGCCTGGCTTCCTGGGTGCTGACACCTCTAGTCCAGAAGAGGGCAGAGAAGGAAAAGTGCTCTGGCAGAATCTGAACTCATGACGACACCAAGTGAAAGTGTTGACCAGAAACCCCGGAATTTCAGAATTTATGTCTTAGTGTCTTTCTTTAGGAATGTGCTTAATCTCTCCTCCCTTTCCGTTTTAGGAAATGCGCTAAGACATTGTAGTAGCAAGGGAAAGGAGATGGATCTGAGTGGTGGCAGGGGGGTCCTTCCAGTTCTAAGTTGGAGCTTTGCACCCTTTCTTACATCTTCCAGGAGGCTTTGAGGTGTATTCGCCTTTAATCAGAAGAAACATCTTGAACATTTTCATTTATTACAGATAAGTCTTTTGAAAGAAAAGGGAAATGTTATTTTGTATTTCCAGATTAATTTTTAAATGAAAACAGCCAATCAAATCATCCATCATCCAACCTTCCTGAGTTCTGGGACATTAAAATTAATGTCAATTAAACATTGGTTAATAACTTTAATCACAGGCCTATTTGTTTTGGATAACATTTATAACAAAATAATATTTTTAGTCTTCTCCGTGGACTTTGTTGTGCTTCTGGGACTTCTGGCATTGTTAATTTAAGCACATTTCACAAGACTTGGGAGAAGGTTATGATGCAAGAAGTTAGTGCTTGTTGCTGAGCTTTTCTAACAAAGTGCTTGCCTCTCCTCTGTGTCCGATGGCAAGTCGGTGGCCAGGAAAACTGCCTCCTATTTTCACACTTGCTCTTTGGCATATGCAGTCTCCATGGTGTTGCAGCCAATTATGTGACTTGTAGGTATCACTTGGCGGGCAGAGGAAGCGCAGGCGTGCTGGGGTGCTCTTACCAACTGGCCTAGGCGGCATTTTCATGGGTGGGAGGGTAAGACTGGAGTCCTGCTGTTTGGTGAATCTCTGTACAAAGTTGCAGCAAAACTACAGTTTAGATTCAGCAACCAATGGCTTTCTAGGGTTAATAAAAGACAAAGGACTCGAGGATGATTTCTATCATAAAAATTTCTTCCAGATGGGTTACAGTTTTATCCAGGGGAAAAAAATGGAGCACTTTCAAAGCCATTAGCAGATAAGTAGCACAATTCCCATGTGGAAGTGGGATTTCCAGCAGGAAGCACAGCAGGTATTATTGGCGTCATTCTGGTCGCTCAGATGAAGCAGAATCACCACGTTATTGACTCAGAATAACGAGGGACAGGCTAGTCTGAACTGAATAGAGAGTCAGTCAGTCACAGTACACTTTCCTGTAAGGGAAAGATCCATTCTGTGCATCCTGGCCTGGCAGAAGCCCTGCTGTCCTGGTGGATTGGGAGTTGGCACTGGTGCCAAAGCCCGGCCAGTGCACTGTGTGAACTATTTTAATAATCCTCAGGAATTGCTGTGTGTGCTATGGAATGGCTTAGCAGAGTTTTCCTTTGAACTGCTCATCAGAAACTGGGCTTTCAAATTTGTATAGCTCAAATTAAAAGTACTGTGGTGTATTGTGATACAACAAGTAATAATAGCTGGATTCTTAATTGGATAGCATAATAATGTAAATTTAAGGAATTAAAAAATAAAACACATAAAAAGAATGCCAAAATTAGTCCTTAAAGTCATGTTAATCTTCTTTTGAAGAAGTTGTCTTCTGTAACATCCAGAAGAATAAGCTTGTAGATATTTAATGGCCCTGAAAATAAATTTATGACACCAAGACCAACCCCGAACGCATTGGCTATATGCAGTGAGATTGTTTCTTTGTTTCCATCCCCCATTGCATGCAGTGTAATTAAAACCCTTTTAAAACTGAATTCCTAACAAAATCAATAGCATGTTGCCAGGGCTTCGAGGCTGCTTCCAGATGCACTTATAGCAAGCCTAGTCAGGTGAAGATCGGGAATTATCGTAAATGCAGGGGGAGCCCCCCAAAATGGGCAGTTATGTCACACAGGGCTACATAAAAAGGAAGCAGAGAGGCATTTTAAATGGCCTCGACTGCCATTCATGTGTCCACCTACATTTACATGCTGTAACCTAATGTATATTCACGTCTGCAAGTCACACTTGAGAGAAAACTAATGATATCAACTTCTGTTGACATTGAACAGTGGGAAATTCAGTAAAGAATTTTCAGCCTTTCTCTGTAATTTGCTTTTTCTCTGTAGAATCTGTGTGCAAGGTGTTTTCCTTCCACTTACTGTATTTTGATCCTCCTAGCTTTGAGGGGAAAAAGGAAGTCAGTGGAGGGGGTATTTTTTTCTTTCTTACAGACCAAAAGACACGTTTGAATGTTTTCTTCTTTCCTAAAATAACCTCTTTAAATGTAATTTTTAAAATTCAAACTCTCAGCTGGTGAGTATTTTTGCTCCTCCGAAGCCTCTCCCTTCTAGGTTTCGCTGTGCTCCTTCAGGTTTTGTGGTGTCACTCGACTATCAATCCCAGCTTGTAATTATTTGTCTCCCATTTAGCCACAAGGTGCAAATTTGCTGGCTGAAAAGTCGTGCTCTGACAGTTAATCTCGGTGTATGTCCAAAGGCTGAGCTTGCTGCCCTGGAAAATTGCCCTGGAGGATTATTCTGTAGAATGTGGGGTCATTTGTTGAGCTTGTCTGATGTGAAAGGAGAGAAAATGAAAGGACCCGCCACAGAGAAACAGGTTCATAGGGTCCCTTTCAGGGCAGAGAAAATCAAAGGACATTTTCTGGTCCGCTCCAGTTTCCAGGCATGTTCTGGGAACAGGGGTATCAAGGGATATTTTCTTCTTGGTATTTTTTAGAGAAGTCATTGAGAGAGAGCCCTAAATCAGGAGCTGAAGGCAAATTAAGTAATGCCCATGGGGTACTCAGAAATGACTGCCAACCCAGAGCCCTCTGTCTGCCCAACACTCACAGGTTTTTCAAAAGTCTCTAAAAGTATTTGGATCTAGAAGGAAAAATGTAATGATTCCAAAGTTTTAAAAAATATACTTCTACAAAAATCAGTATTATTAGCTTAATTGAATAGCTTCAAAATATTTGATATCAACCACAGTATTACATTTACCTTTTGTAAAAAAATTCTATTACAGATGAAAACAAATTATTCAGTTTTCTCATTTTCCAAGATTTTGAGGATGGTAATTACAGCCAGTAATTTAAAATTCAAAATTATAAGAAGCCTGTCCATTTTTTATGCAGGAATATATATTTTATGTGTAATGTGGGACCCTGCTTAACATTCTTTACATGATGTGAGGTAGGACCTAGAGAAGAGCCTGCAGCTCTGGAAGGTTTCAGACAGCTCTACCTGTCACTGCCGATCCAGGTGTGTGCTCGTTCCTGCAGGTGCACATCCACTCAGCCTAGAGCAGAGAGGGTGAGGATGAGACAGCGAGAGCAGGTCTGGCTCTCCCGTGGGAAGGACCAGAGAGCAGGCACAATGAGAAGAGCAGTCATTTCACCCAGGCATGAGAAATGCACAAGGCCCTCGTGCATCCCTGGAGATCCTCGGATGGCACCCGTTTCTCTTTGACTTGGGAACACAAAGCCATCAAGTTGGATCACATGACAGAATTCCAGTGTCCCCGTATCTTAGCTGTGTTCTCTCTGAGCAGATAGCCGGGCCGTTGTGTGCTCTCCTGTTCTAACAAACCCTTCCAAGTTAGACAGAGATTTCCATTTTTTTAGAACAGAAAATTTGACGCGTCGGGGACAGGAGAAAAGGAAGATTCCCTGGATTTCACATGTGATGATCCTGGTCTCTAACTCAGTGGCCTAACTTGTTTGGTTTTCCTTCTGTTCATCGTTTTTGAGGTGATGAATACTGATTCCCTCCAACGCATGGAAAGCAATACTTCCCATAATCGCACCCTCCCAACAACAAGCACCAATACACTAACTCCTACAAAATTCTTTCTTTACATAAAATAAAATATTATTGGTTTATTTTTACAAAGTGTGGTGATGCTTTTAAAATATTTTTCACTTACCAATGTGTCTTAGATATTTTTTGATTTCCATACATGTGAATTACCTCTTTCACAGTGATGACCACCTGGTATCCCACTGCATGGCTGGGCCACAGTTGATTTCACTGACCATTTAGCTTTGACCTTTCAAGATAATGGATCATGTGCCTAAATAGACCATTGTTTATTGACTAGAAATATGTTCTGGCTTAACTGGCCCCAGGAGCAGAAAAGTCCAAATCTCTCTCTTTACTGATGCTTGTTATTAAATGTAAACCCTATATGTAATCTGCCATTTATTTATCTGTTTTTGTTTTTGCCTTTTCCTCTTATGCAGTCATCTACAGCCAGGGACAAGGATGAAGCAGCCCTCCCGGTAGGAAGCAGTGGCCCTGTTGCCTGCTCCTGTGCCTGTGGGAAGTGTGGGGTGGGGTGGGGGCCAGACCATGTGCTGGCCAGATGGTCTTCTCCCTTGGAATATGTATCTGGCTCAGTCCACTGGGCTGCGCTATACTCCATCCTACAGTTAGTTACGCTGAATTCTGAGGCTCACTGACATATGCTATTTTTGGTCCTAGGTTTTTTAAAAGTTCGAATTCTCTCTACCATTGGGCATAAACTATTGTAGGAGTTGAAGGAGTGAGAAATTTCCAAATTACATTCCAAGGGATGTTGAGCTGATATTTGAAATTTAATGCTTGACGATTGTTTTCTTTGTTTATCTGCATGCACACACCTTTTGATTAAAAATTTCTTTTGTACTCATCAAAAGAAATGTTGCATGAGACCTGTATATCATTATATGCATAATGCCTGAGAGAATGCTTGAAGTTCTCCAGTAGCTAGGATCTGAAGTTGATGAAGATGCCCACAGCAGAGCTCTTCCACTTTCCCAGAATAAGGACCATGGTAACAATGGCTACGACGAGTTACTAACTACGAATGCACTTCTGCTTCCTGTTCAGTTGACACATCCCATGTCCGACTGTGCAACCTGGCAGAAGCCTCCATCTCTTCCCTTGAGGGGCTCACAATCCCCTTCCCCACTGCAGCACCAGCAATCCCCTCTGAGTCTTATCTACACCCTGTTGAGTTGAGAATACACTTTTTAATAGACCATCAATTAATAAAATCACATGAAGAAAGCAGAGTTTTCCATACATCTCATACTGAGAATTTACTCATATTTCAAGCTCACCATGGGTTTCATGTTTGCCACCAAATGTTGGACCATGATTGTTGATAGTTTTTTGTTTTGTTTTGTTTTGTTTTGTTTTTACCATAACAAGCCTTTATTATGGGGAGGATCTGCCCGGCTGTCTCTGAACAAAGGAGAGAAAGCAGCATGGCAGAACAGGGAGCGTCTTTCATAGGAGTGGGATGGGGTCAGCCTGAGCTGGGGTGGAGGTGAGTGAGGTTGTGTTAAGGGATCGGAGGAGCCTGTGACAGCACCAGGAGGGGCGTGGGACGACACTAGCTGCTAGGAGGTAGCAAGTATCAGGTTCCTCTTTTGGCGGAGAAGAGGCCTCATGGGAAGAAGCAGCCTCTCCGTTGTTGTGAGAAGCCATATTGTAGCATGGAGGCAGCTGTTCCATGTGGCAGGCATCTTAAGGCAAGGGAAATGTAACAGTACGGTTTATTACTTTGGACATTAAAAATAAAAATGATGACTCTGGCTAAATTCTTAAGTTCTTTTGTTTTTGGCGGTGGGGTAGGGAGGTGTTGAGAGAGGGTCTCATTACGTAGTTGAGACTGACCTGGAACTCACTGTGTAGCCCAGGCTGGTCTTGAACTCATGGTGATCCTCCTGCCTCAGCCTCCTAAGCACCAGGAGGGGCGTGGGACGACACTAGCTGCTAGGAGGTAGCAAGTATCAGGTTCCTCTTTTGGCGGAGAAGAGGCCTCATGGGAAGAAGCAGCCTGTCCGTTGTTGTGAGAAGCCATATTGTAGCATGGAGGCAGCTGTTCCATGTGGCAGGCATCTTAAGGCAAGGGAAATGTAACGTTCCAGACTTTTTGTTTTATGGTTTTTGGGCGAAGGTCTCTTCCTCTGGAGCTGCTTCAGGCTGACAAAGGGGCAGAGGTTGGGGCTACACCTGGATCTTGTTGGGGCATTTTTTAAAAAATAAGGAATGCATGGTTAACAATTTGAAGACACTGCCCGAGTGAATCACACCAATCAGATTTCTTCAGTGTAGGTGTAGTGGTCTAACAGGGATGAGTTCCTCAGCAGAGCACTTTGCAGATATGGCATTGCTAATGGAATCTTTGTTGGGAAGCCCCTTGTGGTTTAAAGTATAATAGAATATTTGGGGAAATCCAGCAGTGTCAATGGATGGAAGATGTAGTAGCAAATAGTATTTTCTTTTTATCTGATATTTCATATTAAGCTTTTGAACCAAATGTCAGTAGAAAGCTGGGCTCCCTCTGAGCATCTTGCCCTGTGACAAGCAGCATAGAATCAGCAAAGGGGAAAAAACAGTGTCTATTTAGGATGAAAAGCTGTCAAAATATGGTGGGTTTGGGGTGGAGCTTTTTCAAGACTGCTTTTAAAGATCAAAGCCCTGGGGTGATCTTATCTTCAGGTGCACATCTGTCCTCTCTCACACCTCTGTTGCATTTGTTTGCACAAAGGGACCCACATGAAGCCAGGCGGGCTCTCTCCGTGGGCTCAAGATGCAAAGCTGCATTTCTCAGGGTCGCTTGTTCGGACCGCGGTCCTCTGGGTGGGGCTGTGGTTCCTGCAGGAGGAGGCTGCACAGGAGGCAAGCAAGATGATCCTCCGGGGGCAAGGAGAGGGTATTAGTGCCTCTGCCATTTACTCTCTGTACTTCTTAAAAAATGTTTCAGATGCTCCTATTTTCATATATATATATATATCTGTACATGCATAGATACTGATTAGATACAAACGTACATACTCAGAGATCGCACCAAGAGGATGTATAATTCCAAGAGCTCAGAGATACCTACCCACTATTTCCCTGAGCGTCCTTGAAAAAAGCAGATCTGAGATCCATGCCTCTGTTACCCTTTCTGTCTGTGTGAGGTGGAAACCTCAGTTCACTTCTCTGAAACGAAGTTTCCTCATCCATCTAAAGTTAATACTGAGAATCAGAAAAATCAGTGATGTGAAGCATGTAGCACATTGCCTGGCACTTACTGAGCTCTCTAAACCTGGAGGTGACGGTTTCTGTGGGAAAGTGTGAGAAAGCCCTTTCCTCTGGAGCTTTGAATGATCCGGTGGTGCATGCCCGTGTGTCACAGTGGATGAGCAGCAGACGGGTGAGGGTCTGGTCTGTAATGCACTCGCCACTCCCTGCTGAGAACTAATGACCTCTGGTTTCTCCACCAGACCAAGCCGCGCCTCCAGCGAGGTGGAAGTTCTGCCTCTCTCCACAACAGCCTCATGAGGAACAGCATCTTCCAGCTGATGATCCACACACTGGACCCCCTGGCTGAAGGTAAGCACGAGGCCGTGGTTTGGAGCTTGTCCGGGGAGTGACAAGGCCTTGCCGTTGTCATGCAAGCCTACGGCCTCCTCTTGGTCAGCACCTGCCAGAGGAGGCCCTGAGCCTTGGTCGAGCTTCATCTGTTGCAGCGCAGTTCGTGATGGGCGGTCGGTGCCATGAGTAGGACATGAGGCACATGTGCCTCTGGCACAGATAGAGTTTGTTACGAGGCAGAGGACAGAAAGGTTTCCAACCATGCAACTAGAGCAAGTTTTCCTTTATCACCCTTTCAAACTTCCCAAACAAAGCTGTGTGTGAAGATAAGTGTGCACCTCAAAAAGAAGAAAAAGAACTCCATGTCTAGAGGCCATGAGTAGCTTAAGGAATGATGTTCCCAGGAGAACACTGACATTGTGCCACTCCTTTGTCGTTTGGGAGGGAGAGGTAAGCATCTGAGCATCCGTTTGCCTTAAACCATAGTTTAACATCCCTCACTGGAGACGCCCGAGGTGTGGTTCACCCCTGGGGTAATACGAATCATCACTCCAGTCTTACTTCTTTCAATTTCTTGGTCACTAGGAAACCAAATATGTCATGTTTCTCCAACTGCATTAAGTATCCTAAAAATTAATTCTTCCAGTAGTTACACATCTGAAATGTCAAATAAATATCAGAGCCTTGTCACTAGCATGGTGTTTGGAAATAACCCATTCTGTCTCCCCTCACCCTGGACTGTATAATTGGGCCTGACGTTAGGTGGAAGCTAGCAGGGCTCATGGAAGAGTGTGGGGAGAGAAATCGGGGTGTGCTACTGAAAACACATAGGATCTGATAGTCACGCCACATGCCTCAGAGTTCGTACAATACCAACTTCGGGTACAGGCAATCAAGAGATTCATACAACACAAAGGAAAACCTGGGACCCCCTCTTGGGGGTCCTGCCTGCCCTCACTGGACACACTGGTCACCCAGAACAATAGATGAGGGTCACAGGGTCACCTCCCTCTGCACAGCATGGGGCGCTTTGGTTATGCAGCACCCCGTCATACCCCAGAGCTGCATAGCCGACGTGGCATTCCACAAAGGTTCGGATTCTGTTTACTGGAGATAATCCTAGCCAGGGACATCCTCAGCGCGGGTCTGCTACTTACCCAGAGATTCATTTGACGAGGGGACTAGATCCGCTCCCCAGAGAAAGGAGTGAAGGAGTCTCAGGCCCACTGCTGCCACTCCCTCCTCCTGGCCGCTGAAAAGTCCTGTGACTGGAAAAGCTAGGGTTTCTTAGAACCTGGAGGAAATAACCAGTTCATAAATAACAATACGCTTTCTTTGTTTGGCATTCTACAGTTGGCAGAGCTTGTGCACACCTGTGAGCTTACGCTTCACAGTAGCACTCGTAGCTAACGTGGTGCTTCTTTCATAAAGCGTCATTGCCACTGGCCCGGACCTCAGGCGCAGCCCCTTCTCTGCCGGGCCTTGCTCCCGAGACACTGTCGCTGCTGTGTTCCAAGCTTCCTCGCTGGTCCCACTCCTGTTGCTCTGCCGCCTGCGCGTTTCCCACACTGCAGCCCAAGTAGTCTTCTTTACACAGTGAATCAGGCTGTGTCGGTCCTGCTTACAGCCCTCAGGAACAGCGTGACACCCTTACTGCGGCCCCCTTGATTTGTTCTCGTTCCTCACTCCCTTTAGCCACCTGGGCCTTTCTGTCTTCCGACAGACACCTCTTCTCAGCCTTGGAGTCTTTGTGTAGCTGTTTCCTTTCCCCTGCATTTCTCCCAGCTCCGCTCCTTGCCTTTCTTCAGCACGGCATCTGAGGAAACTTCCTAATGATCCAGTATGCATCAGGGTCCCAACCTGGCCTCCTAGTTACAGTTCATGAGACCGCTGTCCTTCTGCCAGGAAGCGATAAGTGTCTGAAGAGCAGGGACTGTATTTTAGTCGCTAGTTTCCCTAAAGCTTAGCAGGTTACTTGGCCTACAGTAGCTTCTAGGACCTAAAAAGATTAACCAGCTTGGCCAAAGTCACTGTAATGAGTGATACTCACACGACCCCAAGCCCTGAAGCTGTGCAGATTTAAGAGTTCAGGTGAGCTGTGCCTTGGTTATTTTGAGGCACCACATTCTCTCCCCTACTGTCCTTGAAAATTGTATGAGAAAAAGGGGCAGTTTCATCTGTTCTAACTCAGTTATGAGCAAGTGACTGAGTGTACTTACTCTGACAGGGTGATTTCATGTAGTAGCAGAGAGAAGACTTCAAATCTAGAATCTCTGGGTCCAGATCCCAGCTCCGCATTGATAGCTGTGTGACCTTGAACAATTTACTTCTCTTGTATCTCGGTTTCCTCCCCTATAAAATCAAAATGATATCCAGCGATGTCTGCACTGTAGTGTTCTTATAAAAATTAGAGTAAATACACGTCCAGCATGTGGCAGCACACTGCCTAGCGCATCACATGTATAGGTGTGGAATATTCTGCTTTGTTATTTTGAAATGTAATACAGTAGGCAATGTGTAGGAGGTTTTTAGACTTGTACACTTGATCTTGGCCAAAAGGCCCAAGAAGCAATGGTTTTTAGACCTTTAAATATTAAAAACAATGTACTGGTCAGCTTTTCCATTGCTGGGACCAAATACTGATGTCTGCACTTTGCAGGATGAGAAGTTTACTTTGATTCACAGTTTCAGAGGTTTCAGTGCCTGGTCAGTAGGGTCCGAGGAAGGAACGTGACAGGGAAAGGAATGGGGAAGCAGAGCCACTTACATCATGGTGACCAGGAAGCAGGGCACGGGGGAAGAGCATAGCGGAGGCCGGGACGAGTGCCGATCCGTACACCGTGGTCCACTCAGAGGTACTTGGAAGCCCTCAGGTTGACAGTCACGATCGATCATCACAAAAGGTTACAGTGAAAACTGTCTTCCTCCTCCACGGACTTTCAGTTCTCTCCAGTTCCTCAGCTGTCTCTCTGAGCAGCCGTTGTCGTCAGTGTCAGGAGTCCTGCCAGAGGTGTCCTGTCAGACAGTGCGTGTGAGTGTGTGTGAGTGTGTGTGTGTGTACCTACCTGCTCACAGGTCTCAGCAGTCTGAATATCTGTGTTTTGTCGCTTTGTAAGAATTCCATTTCTGGAAGGGCTTGTTTTTGTTTTTATTTCTGCTTGGAGGGGAAGCTATGTTTTGTTTCTGTGAGATAAGGGCAAGTGAATATAGGTTGTTTCAGAGTTGGGCCATCAGTGATTTTCCAGAACATCTGGTCCTTGTGGAACTATGCTGCAATTAAACTGTTCGTTCCTGCTTGAGCAAGATGTGCCTTCTGAATCCTGGCACCTGCTTTCAAGGTGAAACCTCTCCCGGAAAGATGTGGAGAGCTCCAGGAGTGTGACTCTGAAAGCCATAATCAGTTCTGGACTTCAGTGATTAGAAAATATAGAAAGCACTCAGGGCTCTGAAATTGCTCCATAGCACATGGCCAAGAACACAGATGGTTCTGGTATTTTTCCCAAAAAATTCACAATTATTTTCATTCCAAGAACAGTCAAACATTTAACCCACAGCTCTCAGAAATAGTCATCTGTCTCTTAGTTTGTGTCTAATCACTTGGGTTCACGCATCCTCGTGCCAAACTGCTGCCTTTGAAGGACGCACAATGTGACCCCAGCACTGCAGCAGCCTCCCTGTTGCACTGAAGCACAGGTCACTGGTGTTCCTTAAACACCTCGCTGAGAGCATCGGCACCTCTGGTGTGCAGTCAGAGGAAAATGTGCAACCTCGTTTGAAAACATCATCTAGGACAGGTGGCTGGTGGAAATACATTTCCTTTTGTCTCATCTGTGCCACACGGGTGCTTTTGTCTTCAAGAGCCCCGTGCTTCTGCCCTGGCTAAAAGCTTTCACTGGCAGATGTTTGGCCTCTTAAGCTTGAGTCACAGTATCCAGCAGTGTTTATGCTTTGGTTATCTGTTGACTCGGTGCTTGAAACAACCACGACATTATTGTCTGTGTTTTCGAGGATCGGGGATTTGAACAGGGATCAGCTGGGTGCTTCTCCTGCTGCACTTGGCACTGATGGAGGCCCCAGCAGGGAGGCAGGTAGGTAGGAAGGCCCAGGCAGGCCTCACACAAGTGCCTGACCCTTTGGACAGCACAACTGGTGGGCTGGGCTAAGCTGCATCCCTCTGGCTCTCTGTGCTACTTCGCACACGGCCAGACTTCTTACTTGGTGGCCAAAAGTTCCGACACCAAACCTTCCAGGAGGCCCAGATGGAAGCTACAAGGCTCCTGGTGAACCAGGTGGGCAGTGGCAGGACGTCACTTCTCTGCAGTCCCCACCAGGCCCCGGGCAGAGACAAGCCTCCACCTGTCCTGGAGCAGGGCCAACGGGAAACACCTTTTCTCTGGCTCACCCGTCTCTGTGATGTACACTGCTGGTTTCTCTGCCCACTGCAGCTGGCTGTGCCCTGGGCAGAGCACGCTGTGTGGACGGGGTGCACACTGTATGGACGGAGCGGCCATTGTCAGTCTGCCCAGCACAGCACCTTCGCAGGGACACAATATTCTGAACAGGCCTTGGCTCTGAAAAGGATACGCTGAAGAATGACTGGAATAAAGACTTATTTATGCAAAAGCCCCTGGGAACCAGAATTGTCAGGCTTGAGGTTCCAGAGGGCTGTCTAATCCGGTCTTTCTAATGACTTCACTGTGCTGTGTTGATTTTAACATGTTCTCCAAACAAACCGTCGTGTTGCATAGGTTACATTTTTAGAAACCTAAAACAAAGATGCTGGCTGGAGCACTTTCAGAGCGAGGAGTGGCCTCGCCTGTCAGCCTGTGCAAGGGTGAAATACTGACTCGGTTTCCTGGATGTTCACCATGCGAGCACTCTGCAAACCATCTCAGTCCTGCGCCTGCCTCCTCCGTCCCGCAGAGGAGGACGCTGACCAGAAGAGAGGTGCATCGTGCGTCGCCAGGGTGACACAGGAGGTCAGTGGTAGAGCCAGGACTCACTCCACAGTCACACTT